AAAAAAAAAACCCTAACCCGTTCTGGACACCCATGCAAGACAACATTGTTGGATGATAGCAGGATGCTTTCCACGGTAAAGAGAAAGGCTTTTACAATATCTACCCAGTTTAAGAACACTCCCCAGCTCCCCTTTCAGTTCATTCACTATAATGTGCAAATCAGAGATCAGCCTAGAAAAGCCAGATTAGGCTTTTCATACCTAAAAAGCTATTCAACATTTCATCTGGATAGACAGATAAACGTGTACATGTACAAAGCCCTTGTAGAACCAAGCCTTGCCACTTGACAGCCATCCTGAAATATCTAAAAGCACTTATTTAGACACTTATTTTGAAGCGTTGTCACTAAAGTTTTCTTTAATTTAAGTGGTCACTTTGGTGTCACAGTTGCATGTATGAAGTCACCCGTAAAAACATATTTATAAAAAAAAAAAAAAATCTAAAAAGAGTGCTGTTATTGCCCAAAATGTTTTAAGACTTTTCTCCCCTCCTCCGGAAGTTAGACTTCCACCACCTTTGCTGATGATGTTTCCTCTTTAATGATGTGAAGGGGAAAGCACCTGTTAAACACACGGTGTAATAAGTGTTTATTTACAGAAAGGAGAAGCAGCCTGATAAATTCTAAACTTTGTGCTCAGATTTAGTCAAATGCAGCAGTGCGTTAGAGCACAGATCTAAAACAAACAGCGATGGCATCACACGAGTTTTTGAAGGTCAGGAAGTGGAATATTGACCATTTTAAGCTGCATTTTGCTACCTGAAGTCAAAATTAAAGCCCGGAGACCCCAGAAACAAACAACAACTTAAAAAGGCAAAGTCTCATAAAAAACATAGATTCCACAATGCACACAGTCACAAAACCTTTTTATCTAAGTAGCTTTATATTTCATATTATGTTACGTGACTTCAAAGTGTAGGGGTTTGCAACCAAAAGACCCCCAGTTCAATCCCTGGAGGAGACAGAAATAATTTTGGTGTTGTGTCAGGAAGGACAGTCAATATAAAAACTCTGTCACATGAAAAAATGTGGAGCTTTTTATTTAATATTATATTAATTTGCCAAATTGCTCATGAGTCCCTAAAAACCAGGGACTGGGTATCAAAATTCTGTTCTTCAAAGGTTATTGAGGAAACCTTAAAACCTTTTGAATTAAACCAAAAGTCTGCATTTTTGAATCTCATCCTTCTATAGCGGTAATGTGACGTGTTTTGATAAATGGCTAAAATAACAAGCTATATACATGGACCTTACTCTGCATGCTGAGCAAAGATTTTAGGAGGTGGCCTGCTGGCTTGGGTGGCACTCCCACAAAAGCATGTTTCTCAGGTTAATTGGTGATTCTAAATTGGTCATAGGCATGAATATGAGCATGAATGGTTGTTTCTCTCTCTGTGTTAGCCCTGCGATACACTGGTGACTTGTCCAGGGTGTACCCAGCGTCTCACCCAATGACAGCTGGCATAGGTTTGAGGCTCCCTGTGACCTGGAATTGGAGAAGTGGAAGAAAGTGAAGAGAAGGTGGGTATAACTTAAGAGGGAAATGGAATTTAAAAATACAAAGTGCTAGAACAACTTTAAGAACTATGTCAATCTCAATTGCAGGAGTTAAATTATGGAACAGTCTAACAGAAGAAATAAAAGACAGTAAAAACATAAAACAGTTTAAAGTAAAATATAAAAACATAATTTTAAATAAGTATAAGAATGAAGAAAACGGGGTTAACCCAGGACGGTAATGTTGCTGGTAATGGTGTTGTGGTTCTTTTTGGGGGTTTTTTGGTTTTGCTTTGTTTGTTTTTCCATAACTTGTGTATCTGCAAATATACACATTCTGTATTTTTCATATGAAAGAAACTATACTGTGGTGGGGCTTGCTAATTTCTTGTTTTTGATTTATGTATGTTTTGTTTTGTTTTACTTTTGTTTCATATGTTGTTTGTTTAATTTAAGACTAAAAAAAAAAATTAAATGAATGAGAGGTAAAACTTGAGGGGGTAGGGACAAATAAGTAAATACTTCTGCCTACTCCTTTTCAAACAAATAATGTTTGACTGTAGGAACAGCTTAAATCTGCACAAGAACAGTTTCAAGTTCTTGGAGGTGCTTTGAACAACCTGGAAAACCTAGGCTGAATGCAAAGTTGGTTTCACGAAATGTTGACTTGTGTATTCTGTTTGATCCATATTGTACGACCTAAAAAACTAAATGGTTATATTTATGAAAGCATGTTGATTTTTTGGTGCCTAAAACCTTTGCAGTAAACAACATATTACACACATCTTCCATATAAAAACATATTCAACAAATATCATTATGTTTTTCAGAGAAAGGTCTTCAGCAAATCTGTGTTATATCATAATATTCGACACTGTTTGTATGCTTGGCTGCTGAGTGGAGCAAAGAACCATAGTAGGATAAATATTTATGTTTTATTAACCTTGCTTAGCTCAAAATGGTTCAAAATGCCAAGACTTCAATGTTGCGGGCCAAAATCTAATCTGGTCCATCAGTTTTCTAGGTATCCGGCATCCACAGAAGTCTTACTTAAGCTGTATCCTGTATATACAGAGTAAACATCTAGAAATCCTCAGTGTTTGCTAACAGGGCAAGAGGGCCTTGCATGTCTCAAAATGGATCATGGAGTATAAACAGTGTTAGGTGGGCCTGGGTAGCAGTTACCTCGGCTAAGGAGAGACTGTCACGCAGAAGTGGCTGGACACCATACAGTCCTCCTAAACCACAATAGAATTTGATTTTGTCAGAGGATTTGATGTTCAGCCGTTATTGTCGCAAAGCACGGGTTTATATGAACCAGAGTTTGCCAAACAAAACCATTTCAACCCATTCAGGTTGATAAGATCCTGTTCTGAGTCTTAGGAAGTTCACTAAGTTCACTGTTCCCATTGCCTCGGTCAATTATTGCTTAACCATTACTTTCAGGGCAGAGGTACTGCGGGTAGTTAACAAATTCAACATGCTTTTCATCAGAAAGGCATGCAGTTTTATTTTCTGATCCATATCAACAGGTAGCTTATGTAAGAATATTTCTAACCCGCACTGGCAACTGAGATTTAAAGCAATTTTCTGGAGCGTGCTGCCCAATTTAATCGACTTATCTTATTCAACTTTAGTACGTCTGCTCTCTCTCTGACTTTACTTTGAAAATAAAGCATGTTTTTATCTAACCCTGTATATATATATGTGTGGCCAACACAGTATAATGAATAAAATTTCCTCTTCAAAGATCCCAGATGAAATGGGCCAGGTGTTAACGAGTCTGGTTTGATTCTTACATGTCAACAATGTCGGGCTGTTTAAAATAAACCACATGTGAAAGGAGGCTGTTCCTGAAGTTCATTTCTCAGACCAAACATTTCTGCTCCTTACATGAAAGCAAGAAGCTATTTCGCATGAATGGCACAAAATCTAATTCAAGGTATATGCTTTGGATCAGGCTCTTGAAGGGGTGCCAGTGGTAACGACTCCGTGTCAGGAAAGATCAAATTTGCTCAGTGGAGTTTTTCTTGTGTAGGAGAACCCGAAGGAACCTAGATGACGGGCATTTAACCATGGTCCTTTATTTCCCTTCTATACGAGTCTACCAAGCAGATTCCAGTTGTCTATGCATCAGCGCACACTGAGCCAAGTGTGGCTCAGGTTTAGCCTGTCTGGGTCAAGCTGAGGTCTGGACTTTTAGTTCATCCTGGCTTCATGTTTCCCATCAGCAGCTGCCTCATGCAGTGACAAGACAGCACTCTTCCCGCTACAAAGACTTGCTCCAGCTGCTTCCACAACTGGGCCACAGAGTCTAACAGCCTGTGTGTGTGTGTGTATAAAGAGCTGATTGAGTGAGTGCACAAACGATGGTAAACTTTAATACCGTGCCTTTGTATTGGGATCACAGTACAAGGGCATTTCTGCTTTGCTTTGTGCTCTTGTGCAAGTATAAATCATATCTTCCGATCTCTTTGTTTCTTTTTTCTATTGGTTACCATGTGCTCCTGCAGATCTCCGTCATGTCCCGAGAACCGCTGTGGAGTCTGGTTTCAGTGCACTTTCACATGATGGGACTTAGCTGTTTGTGCAGACGTAAAACTTCCTCCCAAATCCCCTCTTTAATGCTATAATGAATTTACAGTCAAAGGTTATGGAGTCTGACCTGTAGACAAACTAACATCTGAGTAGGATTACATTCTTTGTTTTAGTGTAGTCTGTGGTGAATTGCTCATTTTTACAAAAGAAAATAAAGAAAGCTTTCAAGATCTTGGGTATTTTTAGGTCTTTATTATTCATGTAAACTTTTTTTTTTTTTTTACCAAAAAATAATATAGGCACACTTTACATATATAAAATAATGCTCTCCAAATGAAATATGAACATCTCCACATTAACTATAAACACATTTAGAGGATAATTATTCTTTATATTTTACATGTTTAGACACTTAACCTGCACTTGCTTATCACTGTTCTTAATGGTGTCAGTTTAAAGCTCAAAAGGCGTCATGTCTAGCTCTCTCGAGGGGACATTTTCACTGACCGCGGTCTTACTTTTCAGCATAAGTTAGTCAAAATATTTTGAAGTAAAATGCAGATGACAGTCTGTAAACCATCGCAAGATAGTTGGATTTGTGTGTTGGTTCCCCCCCCCCCTTTTAATTAGACCCACCACCATGTGTGTGTTTATTTTTTTTAAATCAATGTTAGTTGGTCACCCTGTTACTGAATGAGTACATTCCTACAGGTTCTTTTTTGTTCTTTTGCATAGATTTTGCTTTAAAATTGGGGCATTAGTACAACTCTTATATAATAGAAATATAAAGACAAAGCAATATAAATTAGTTGTATACTGAATATAAGTAAACATATCAAGCTTAAAACACTTTATCACTCTTTTTTATGTACAATACATAATCTAATAATATGACAGTGAACCTGTACAATATGTACTGTAATATATATATATATATATATATATAGTATATTTAGTACAAAAGAAACCTAGCAGCATTAAAGGATTAAAAACAAAAGATCAAGAAAAGAAAAGAGTAAGAAGTGCTAAAATGTACCTGAAAAAAATCTGTATTTGATTTTTTTTTTTAATCTATAGTCTGATTTAGCTGTGGATCCAGGTGATGTGAATGATGGGTTCACATTATCTATCTGTGCATCACATCAAAACAGCTAGTGACACATCCTGTCTATCATATCCTGCAGTTAAACTGAAGTGCGCACAAAGATCCTCAAAGCATGCACACAAAAAAGAATGAGGGGAAAAAAGAGATTTGCAATTTTCAGCCATTTGATATGGCAGAGGAAAACAAAGTGTGGTTTGAGCGGCACCCTCAACAGACACATCAGTAGCTTTATCAATAAAACACATGCATACACAAACATACACAGACAGCATGGGGTCAAGAAGAAACACACCATGGTATGTTTTCTCTCTGTGAAAAGGATCAAGTCATACTGAAAGTGATTTGTGTAAATCTCCTCATTCTGTAGGTCAAAGATTAGAAATAGAGGCTGTAAATAAAATTTCAAAAGTCTAAACTCTCTAACACAAGGTTAAAAAATTTGTGGTTTTTTTTTTATTTCTGCAACTGCAGTCTTGTAGCATTTGAGGAACTGCTGGTAAAAAGCAACTGGAAGTTTTCAGTGCGTGTGTGTCTTGACTTAGAAAGCCTGGGTTTATTTTTTTAATCTGCTTGATCATTTAAATATATATCAGTGCGGATGGAAGCTTGTTATCCAGAGAATTGTTTTGTCTGTAAGAGTACTTGAGCATTTTGTAAAACTTCTCACAAAGTGGTATTCTAGTCTTTAAAATCTGAGTAAAACAGGTGTTGGTGGTGTGGTATCAGATGATACTTCATGGGGATAAAGGATCAATGTTATCTCCGACAGGCGTAAGCATTAATATTTTTGATAACATAAAAACCTATAGTCATGGGAGGCATAGCTATTGTTCGTCCCGCCCTCAATGTCTTGGGCTTCAGCTCTGGGAATGTCTCATTGTTCATCATGACCAGCTTTTCCCCATTCAACTGGACATGTCTGTAAAGAGAAGAAGAAATACGGTGTGTTAACTCAGTGAGTTACAACATGCTTAAGTCACATAATCAGATTTACCGACCGTCTTATATTCCAAGTCTTCTTCCCCTGCCTTCTGACAAATAAAACTGGTAGGCCATGGTAAGACTTTATCAACAAAAGACTCGGGATCTTCGTTATTTCATGGGCCTTGTATCTTGCCTATCAATCTGCCAGCAGGGGGTGCTGTTGTCACATTATTGTAATTAAAACAACTGCAAAGTGTGAAAACTGACATGTTGAGTGGAAAATACCAAGAGCAAACCCAAGTTTATTTCTCTGTTAACATTTTGGGTCATCTGTATTCCCTAATATTTGGCTTTAGCTGCATTTACTGCAGCTGCTCACTGTGATAAAAGTCATAAGGCTACAAAAACCAATATGCTCCTCATATATATGAAACAATTTTCTAAGACACTCTGTTAAAGTGTTATATTGTAATGATTTAGGTTGTCACATTCATCAAAATAACCCCTGCTACATCTTCATCTACTGTAAAACCTATTAATATTTATTTTTTCTTTTTTTAAGACTCCTGACTAGGCATGATCATAGAAATCTACTTACGTGAACAAATCCAATTTTACAAAGTCAAACACCAGTTTCATTAAACCAAATAACAGTCAGTTTGAGTATGACCTTTGCTTTTTTAATTCACAGTGGTTCTCTTTATCCATACAGGACACAATATGCTAATTATTATTAATGTAAATACAGTCTGTCCACACTATTTTCTATCTTGTTATGACTACGTTTCCCCTGAGATTGTAATGTTCACAATAATAAAGGAATAAAGGGCAGTGGTTTGAAGACTTTTACATGAACATTGAATTCAAGAAAAGATCAAATAAAATGATGTTCACTAATGAGAAGTTGTAATTCAAACCGGACTGCTCAAAGCCTTTCTTCACATACATGGGTCTGAAAACTTAAAAAGTTCCACTACTCAAACCAATTTATAGACATCTGGTGTTGCTAAATTCATCATAAAAATCTCCCTGCACTCCATGTGGTAAATGAAAGCACTTTAGGCCAGGCACATCGTTAGCTTGCTCTCCTATTAATTGCCTTGCGATCCTGTTCTAACACCTAAAACATCCTCCATCATTACACTGTTATTGAAGGATCATGCTTGAGCTTTCATTAAGGCCGCATGTGGGTATCATATAACAAAAAGACAGACACGCACACACACAGTCTTAGGTCATTAGACTGTTATTTCAGGATTTGTGTCTTAAGTCTGAGTCCGAATAACAGGCCAGGGGATTAAGGGAGAGAGTTAAAGACTGAAACCATAAAGTTTTTATTTTAAGAGACATTTTAAGGAAATGGGAATTATATTACCTTGTTACATAAAGTGAAATATATTGTAGCCAAATGGAATGTATATAAAATGAAAAATCGATTGCTAAAACATCTGTTGTAGGCTATAAAAACAAACTCAAAAAAGGGACACGAAAACACATTAAAACTTTGCAAAGGACTGTGCTCTCTGAAAATTTCCTTCAATAATTAAGGTGGCAAATTAAAGCAGTGCAATGACAATGACCATCTGAACAAACTTAAGTTTTATTTTTCAGTTAGCTTTAATTGTTACACATTATTCTTTATGAGAATACTTGTCTTCACCTAACTCTAATCCAGATAAAGACAGGAAAAGGTAATTGCATTTGAGTGTACATTTGCATGTTTTGCGGTGTGGCACTCACTCAGCATGCTGGCTCCATATAAATTATACACTGTGGTCATAAAAGTAAATTGAGTCACTGCAGCTCTTTGAAGTTTTGATGTTTAACACCCTATTAAGTTTGGAGGCATAAAGTTGTTTATAAAATTATAATTTTCCTATTCTCCATTTCAGTGTTTTTCCTGACATCTGCACAAAGTAATTCCTTTTACAAACCAAGGTTTACTCAAGCAGTGTACAAATAATCAGCATTTTATTCTTTTCTTTTTGTTTTATATGAGCAATAACTGTCACATTTCTCTTTTTTGAGCGACATAAATAAATAGAAAAGGACTGTTTCACATAGAAAACAATTACCTAAAGCACGTGTGCATGTTTAAGTTTATATCTGCACATGTGTAAGAGACTAGAGATACTAACTTGGCTCGCAGTCCATCATTGCCATAGGGCTGCAGTAGGTACTGATGGACAGTCTTGTTCCGTAACGTTCCAGCCAATTTGATTTTCTTCCTCGATCGATGCAGGTTGATGATGTAGATCGTTATGGATCCTCTGACATAGTTATGACTAGTGTCACAAAGAAAAAGATGGACACTGCCTCATTAATTTTCTTTTACATTTAGAAAAAAAAGATCAGGGCACAACAGAAAACGTCGCCTCTCCACATCTGTTAATGGGGATTCATTATATATTACATTGCCATGTTGAATAAAATTCTCTATAATTAAAGATGACTACAAAGAGAAGAAAGTCTTTGATATTTGCATCCCATATAGTAATGGAATAAAACCACGACTCCTTGATCTAATCTGGATCAAAAGGCTTTCGGAAAATTAATAAAGAAAGATAAAGCCGGCTAAAAAAAGGAAATTCCTTTACATAGCAAGTTACTCTTTATTATAGCCTAAAACCCATCATCTACTGTATATTTAGCATCAACATATCAAACTGCAATTCATTTTTGAAGCCTTTATCATTCCATTAAAGTCTATCTAATACAGAAAGCTGCTTCTCTTATACAATATCCAGTATTGAAACCTGCCGCTGTCTGGCCCAGGGTCAAATGAGGGGTGTGAACACAAAGGGCAACACTACTTGAGTTACACAGACAACAGTCTTTGAGTCCCTCTCCTTAGAGCAAAACACCGGGGACACAATTTGATAGGAATACTGGTCAAAGGTAAATAACTCAGTGAGACAGATAAGACAAACATGATAAAATCTAATAAGAGCCCATATATGAGGACAAAGACAACACAGCTCTAGTGAATACCACATGTCAGCCTTGGTGTTCACCGTCTGGTAGACATCGCTCCCAGTTACCACCTCCTAAATCTCATATCTTCAAAGCAATATTGGATTTTGGTTTTATGTTTACCTTTGTTTTTTGTGCACAGGTTTAGCAATTTCAGTAACCCGGCAGGACTGTTAATGTTTAATATATCTACCAGGAGATATAGTCCCGTACTCCTACTGGGAACACATTATATCTGCCTCTGTGTTAAACTCCTACAGCCTTGTTTCTCAGAAATGTGGACCATGGTTCAGATGGTTAGATGGAGTAGGAGATAATAACCTTTTAGACCTTTAAAATGATGAGGTTCTTAAAGATCCAAACCAGGAACATAAACATGTGTTGATGCTGTTTGATGTTGGAGCATCGCTGGAAAGTGAAAAAAATGCCATTCAAACCACTAAAAGGGGTAAAAGGGCAGTGGAAGTCATATTTAATCTGCAAAGACTGCTTGGACACATTTATATTCTTTGCTCTCTAATACAATTTAGTCAAACCACCAAGACTACAATGGTTTGCCTACTTAAGGGCTGACTGTGTAAAACCACAAAGTAGCAGAAATAATGGCAACTGAAGTGGCTTTGGATTTGAGACAGACTGCTTTAGTGCTTCACTGTCTGAACATATGAGTCTAGGGCTGATTGGTATCTTGAGTGGAGCTCAGTGACTCCACATGCCGAGGGCATTTCTCTACTCCTAAATTTACAATACATACCAAGAGACTGAGTGAGTACACTTGTTGAAAACTATTTAGAATATCTGCATGAGTGTCACTAGAACTCACGCTTCTGTAGTATTTCTTGCACATTTATCAACCATCTATCTTTGCCGTGCTCCGATATTTTTCTAAGAGATGCTCCACCTGTAAATGAGCACCGTCTAGAGTATGGCCGTAAGTCTACCCTGGTGCTGACAGCCACTGGCCTGGGTTAAATGATAACCTTGAACAGGCCATGGTGGCACTCTTTATCTCCTCGCGGCACAGACTGCCTTATTGTCCCTCCCCCTCAAATATCCCCCTCCAGCCAATCTGACATGGGATAAAGGTCTGTGCACACCTTTCAGCAGCCCTTTGACGACAGGGAGACAGAACCCACACACCTGATAAGTGATACCCGTTAAGTTTTATAGTCTCTGAGCTGTGAATGAGCGGGTGTCTATGGTCTGCTTATTTATGGGAAGCCAAATGGTGGAGTTAGGGATTTTGTTCTTCCTCACCAGACACCAGCCTCAGGTGTTTGTGAGAGGCAAGAGGGGGCGTTCTTTAAACTACAGTCATCTGTTTTCTGTCTGACATTCCTGAAAGTATTGCTAGACTTTACTAAAAGTCTATGAGCATTCAGCAGCAAAACTGGAACAGGTTACAAACTAATCCAAGGTAGTTAAGCACGTACTTTTGATAGCTGGTACAGTGGGCATAGATACGTAGTTTGTCTCGTATGACTCGTCCTGGTTGCGGCTTCCTCTGCAGTCCAGCCACTCGCACAGCTAGAACCTTGGGACCAACCAGACGTCTAAACACCAGAGAAAACCAGTAATCCTGTAAATGAAATATCATCACATACACACACACACAAAGAGACAACAATTTGCATTATTTTTATGATTGCATTAGTTAATTGATTCTCATTGTAACTTTTCAAGACAGGGTTCCAGTAGTGACAGTTGAAAGACACCAGTAAAAAGCAATAGGTGTGGAGAAGACGTTTTACATGCAAAATAAAAGAAAACAACATTTCATTTAAAAAAAAAAAAAAAGAGAGAGAAACTCTGGATTCCCTTCAAACAGAACAGCTCCAAAATCTCTATCGTTTCTAATCGAGACATGAAATGTCCTGGTGATTGTAGAAACAGATTTGGTTTCACAAGCTGTGAGAGTTAAGTATGTGTCGTAAGTGGCTAACGTGTGTAAAGAGAGACGTGGTGCACAAAAACATCAAGTCTGAATACTGGACTTCTAGTTGGAGCGCACTGTCACATGACACACGTCACATTGTATTTAACAACCGCTGACTCGTTTAGATTTGACACTTCTTAAATATGACATTTTTACAAAATATTATCCTCTATCATGAATTGCTGTATTCATTATGATTGTTGAGTGGTCCACCATACTAAGTTAAACTCTATAGACTATAGGGACTCAACACCTCTTCAAGAGACCCAGAACAACATGTGCTCCTCAGGAAGTTCCCATGCAATCCTGCATATGGCAACATTTAAGGGCTTCTTTTTTCCACTCAGACTTTAACTTAATTTGCTGCCAAGGCATCGAAGAAGCACAGCACAGTATAGAACAGTATAGTGGTGGCCACGGCCAGAGGGACAGATGAATGAATGTATGATCCATGATTATTACACAAAGAATAAGACAAAGAGCAGTGACGAGTCTTGGGTTTCATTTATTCCAAACTTGTTCCTTTGTTTTTAAATTTCAAAAACACATGTAACAAAAAACACCAATAAACCGATAGAATTTAATCTGTGGCTGTGATGACCACAGCAATGATTAGTGATTGTTAATGTGGAATATTTTAGAGAAATATCTGTTGAGGTTCTAGATCTCCAGCTGTGTAACTGTTTCCTTCTTATCCTATTGCTCGCCATCGTCTTTTTCATCCCTTTCCGTGTCTTTTTTAAATTTAATTTTGTTTTTTTGCACCTTACTTTCCCCCCTTGGATAGATATACAGACAAACGTCAACTGCTGGAACAACCATTACTTCAAGAACTGGTAACATGCCAATATAAATAAAATAAAAACACCAGACACCAAACAAACTTCAGCTGCTCAGAGGTAACAAAGGATGATAACAATTAAACCTTTATGGTTAGCTAATACGGACAAATTAGATTCAGCCCATTGCATCATCAACCTGCTTTTGATGTAAGAAATAAAAATTCTTTCTTCTTTAACGGTGAGCAAAAATCTCCTTACTTAGTGCCAGTCAGACAGAGTTCTGTTTAAAGAATGGATCTCAGACAAAATCAGCCATCTCTTTAATTTAGGCGTTTACTGCTCACTTCTAAAGGGGATGGCTGACACATGTGGAGTCAAAACAACACAAAACAGGAAAGAGAAGCATGATTGGGAAAGAAGAGTATGCTTTAAAAAAAAAGTAGGAAGGGGAGGGGAGAAAAGTGTGGAAAAAAGATGAGGCAGTTGAGCCATTCAGTGGGCTGGGGGCTTTCACTAGATTCTACCAATGGTGGAGTCATCCTATAGGGGATGGGGCCAGGTCATAAATTTCCCATGCAGTGGACAGGTTGGCGCTGCAGTGAATTCTCTCAGCAGGTAGGCTGGTGCAGCCTTCAGACATCCAGCCATGTTAAAAGCATTGTGATCTTAGCGGGAGATCCCCATTCCCAGAAAAATAATGGAGACAAAGAGGGAGGAAAAAATGAAGCAATCTTTATTGTTTAATATCTTATAGGTGAAGTGAGGTTAAAGTAAGTGCATGCCCGCTAGTGAGATCTAATGAGGGAATTTCTGAAAAATGTTTTGCAGATGTAATTAGTTCATGAGCCCAATAACATTAGCAGCTAATAATGTATTTTGGAGCTCCCAGTACACATTAGACTACCTATTTCTAAGTAAAGCAAAATGAAAAGAAAAAGAATATAAGTCCTAAATAATAACAAATGTTTGATAAATGCCAAGACTCCATCATTTTTTCCTTTATTGTTGGAAGAATGAGTTACTGTCATTAATATAATCTTCTCACCCTACACTGCCTCTGCTTTATATAAACCCATTTTTATTAACTGAATAAATCTTTTTTATGAACTTGGCACGTGGAACCATTTTATCACTTCTTGACATTTCAGGATTTTTTTTAACAAAATGAGATTAGCTAAAAAGCGAGACAATGCTACAAAGCACCCTTTTAAAAAGAATTTAATTAGAGGGTTTAATAAGAAACAAACATCGTGACTGCAGAGGTATACCTCTTACACGTGTTAATATAATTCCCCCCTCATATTCTAATAATGCACAACCAAGTGACTAACAATGAAACAATAATATGTTTTTGTTTTTTAGGTTTTTTTATTTTTTAGACCAAACCACCGGGGAACTTGGCATTGTGCAGTCTCATTCCACACAGGTTTGCAGGCTATTTGACTAACGTGCCTGTGCATCAGATTCTCAGGTTGCAGATCTCTCACCGGCAGACTGTCCCACACAGAGAAGCACAAAGTTATGATGGGGGTTGAGGGGAGCAGTGACACTGTCCTGTGCTACTGATAAAGGGCTAAGGTTACATGGCATTTTGCCCCCGCGTCTAACTACTCATCACCACTAAACACCTTTCATCTCAGCTAATAGCTCCCACGGGAAAGAGTAAGAGGTGCCATCAACGCACCAAGTCTAATAAGGGAAAACTCTTGCATAGTTGTCCAGTCAGATCTTGGCCATTTTGATTGCAGCACTAAGAAAGTGAACAGACATTTTAATCTTTTTTGAAATAAAATAAAGAGGCTTACAGGTAGAGGGTTAAAATTCTGGTCCACAAGATGTGTGTATCCATAGTCAAAGAATGAGTGACGCAACACAACATCAATGCCATTCAGTGCAGCCATACCCAGTGTGTTCATCCACCTGCAATATGTGAAAAATATGTGATACATGAGAAATAGTCAATATTTTATTAGGAATAAATACTTTAAACTAGAAAATATGAAAGATTTTTTAATTGTGGCTTCCAATGTTTTAAGCAAAGGTAGTATGATGATAACAATACTTACAGAAAGCCAGCAGCATACGTGTCAGAGAGATTGCTGATGCCGCTTGCCCATGCTGGCCCAAGTCCACCAAGCCACACCTTCTTACCCGGAGTATGTGTGTTCACAACCTGCGATGAGTCATTGAAAAGAAAATTATCAAAAAATTTGGATTTCACATTTTAGGCTTGAGAATCAGTGCAACCTTTTCCATCTAAAATTATCTGAGGGCCATCCATCCAACTCACGGTTGGGCTCGGCTGGAGATTATGCCAGCTAACATTGAACAAGAGGTGGGATAAGCAGCATCCCTAGTCCATCTGAGGAGCATTACAATCCTAAATTCTTAACTTTATAAACTTTAATGATGAAGAGGAACCTTTGTTTTGTTTTGCTAAATGACTGCATTTTACTGTCTCTGTAAACGAGTGAGACGTCGTGAGAGTTTGCAACAAAATACTTCTAGCAATACAAAGAGAACAATAATAAATATAATAATAATAACAACAAATCGGAAAGACATAAACCTGACCTTATTGTTTGAGTGGTGGTACACAGAGGAATCCCACTCCTTTTTCCTGTTAAGTTTTATTTCTTGGTAGTGATTGCTTATTTTCCCTGATCATCTTTCAACTCACCCAGTTTTGATAATATTACGAATTGGCAGCCATAACCATCTTACCCTCAGGGCTTACTTTTGTGGTTTGCACATGTGGCCTCTTCAGCAACAGGTCTGGATGATCCAGAATTTTGCAAACTCATTAGAAATGCAAATATATGTCCGGTCATATAGTTTGTATTTACACTACAGGTATAGAACTCCAGAGTTTAAGGAGTCATTACAGGCATCCCCATTTTATCAAGCATACAATATATATGCATATGACTGGGATTATTTATAGTCAAAGTTTAAGTAAAACTTAAGTACCTTGGTCACTTTACTGATCTGCTCTGCAAGTGTGTCCAAAAGTCGAGTTTTTAGGAAGTCCTCTGCTTTGTTTATTCTGCCATCCATGTAATAACTGTAATGAAAATGCAAAACAAACAGCGTGAAAATATATGCAAATTTATATAAATTTGATATCCTTGATTTGATATCCATCCATCCATCCATCCATCCATCCATCCGCTTATGTTCAGTCTAACCTTGCAACGATGAACTTTAGACTGTAAAGGTTTTACAGCAGCTTTGATAAACAGGCACTGACATACTCAATTATATTTCAGTGCAGTGATAATCCAATTTTACTGAGATTGCATAATGGATGGCTTGGAAGCATGGACATTTCAGACAGACTGAATAATAAAGACATCAATCTGCATGTGTGTGAGAAAAGGATAAAAAACAAAAAGACATGAGAGAAAAAGAGTGTTTAGGCAGCATGAAGAGAAGAATTTATTTATTAGAGCCAAAGTCCTGCTGAACAAAACCCTGTGGGAGAACAAAAATCCCCTCCAACATACTCTCTAAACGAGGGAAAGTCAGTGATAATAGCTACACTGTCTAGTGCATATTCAGGTGCCATAAAAAGGCTTTTTCCCCCACTATTTTATTTGATGAGTGAGTTGCAAAGTTAGCGCGGTGAACACGTAAATATGTCTGTTACATTCAACTGTTTCCAAACGACTTAACACTAAACCAATCTGTGGCAGGTAAACTTCCTTGTATTTTGTTGTTGTCCTAGAGTTTTTAATCTGGTGCCTGTGGCAAGACGCATGACGTTAGGAATGCATTTTATATCAACCAGTAATGACCAGCTAACCAGAAAGCTTAAGACAACAGTAATTGTCATGACAAAGAAGGCTACAGCCTTTATCTCCTCCTGGCACAGCTTCTGTAAGGTCTGGCTTTTCCTTATTGGGAGATGTGTATCATAAAACTACCTTGATCGTGTTTGTGTAATTACTCTCACTGCCAGAGGGGGGAGACAACAGTTGTACACTCAATCAATCAATTAATTAGTCAGTACACTGTGATTGGCTCTCCAAGGTCGAGTTATTTCAGAAACAGCATTTCTATGAACAAAGAACTGCCTTGCTCAGTTATATTGTCAAAAGTATCCCAGAGTCCTATATATTAAAAATTTCCATATTTAGCTTGAGTGTTTCATTATCCAGCCGACTGCTTCAGTAAATAGTTATGATTTATTTTTAAAAGACAGCAGCAAGTGTTCACCTCTTACATGCTATCCTCTGGGTATTGTTATAAATTAAAAATGAAAATATTCAGGGTGATCAATGGTATAATGGTGAAAAGAAATTACAACTATTAAGCCCAGTGATGTCATTAAATATCATCCTTTGCACAAACATCAGAAAACGAAGCATGCATAGCAGGTGGAATAATGTAGATGTGTCCTTTTCTAAATTTTTAAAAGCAGCACATGTTATAAGATATAGCCAAATTTCTAGAAAGATGGAAGTAAAAAATATTTTATGTAAAATTGTTTTTTTCTTCTTCTCCTCAATCAATTTTTAATAGACACACTTAGGTCTCTTGGAGAATGCTAGTTAGTATATTTCTTAATCAAAATTTCAAAAAAAAAGGGGACAACATAAGTAAGAATGGTACTGTAAATACTATGAAAGTAGAGTATTAGACCATATAATCATAACAACTAAGGGCTCATAAATTCAAAAACTATGTTAGAACCTCTACTGAACCTTTTTGGAAAGGTCTACAGAAATGACAGATGTGCCAACAAAACTGCTGAGAACAGAGCTGAATTTAGTTTATGTGGGGTGAAGCAGTGTTGCAATCTGAGCTTAACCTTGTTGAAATTTTCCTCATAGCACTGGAGAAGTCCCAAGCTCCTGGCCTCAAACTGTAAACAATGCACGGATTAAGTCATAGCCTTACACAAATTATTTGGCTATCCTGTCATCTTTTCTGAGAGCTTACAATAATTCTTCAGTCTAGATCTAAGGGAAGAAATTCCAGTTCATATATGGAAACAGAATAAGACAGCACAAATTCTATCTACATCTTACACTACAAATTACCATTAGGGTTAATTTTGCTTAGAGTATATACAAGCATCCAGTAAAAAAGCAACACTAGCCTTTAAGATAAACACTCAACTTGGTGGTTCATTAGTGCAGGAACACACACACACACACACACACACACACACACACACACACACACACACACAAAAACAAATTATGCAAACAATGCTCAAGTATTTTGACCAAAAACTTTGAATTAGTATTCAGGTCCAAGCTCCTCAAACAAAACCACAAAATTTTCCTTTGTTCATTCAATGTTTGGCATACTACTTTGGGCTAAACGTTCCAAAATTCACTAAAATGCAAAAATTTACAACACAGGAACTGAATGTTTTTAGACAAAGATCTACTTGCTCAGCTTGTTCTCCACCGCTCTCTCAAAGTGCCAGCACCACATCAAAGACAGCTCACTTACAAAAGTATCTAGCACTCCACTAACACCAAAATATGGCACAGCCTAGAGACACAGATGTAATCAGTTCAGACAAGGATGGACAGAAGCAGAGGTGGAACTGCATCAGTACCACAGTTTGAAAACTATTTAGCTGAAATGGTACATTTATTTATTTATTTATAGATAAATGATTTTGATTTGTAATGATCACAGAAGATACTTTTAGAAGACTGTTACTAATTTTTGCACTCGTGGAATTTTTTGCTAATGGTTTTTTAAAAGCCCTAAACTATAAACAATGTAGAACAACTTACTTTTAATAACTGCATGTGAGGCACCGAAAATTGTCCATCTGGTGTAGCAAGAGATTTTGGGAGTAAGCAGAGGGGTAGCAAAATAAGAAAAGGATGTGTTCCTTGAATGTGGACCATCAGGTTATCATTAGATCAATCATAATTACGTAACGGCTGAAGAATATGTAGCATCCCTTAGGATTTCACAAGTAAATTTACAGCCCCTTTGTGATTTTCACCTTTAACATCTATTTCTCTATTACATAAGCTATAAATAAGAACTGGTACCACTGCCATTCTGACAGGAAACAAGAAACCTCTGGCTGTAACATGTTAGCCTGGCTTGTAAAAAGCAGCACTGCTGAAATAGTGAAACTACTAACATATATATTTGAAAAAAAAAAATGTTTCTAATGCACTTTAAGGCCACAATGATTAAATCAAGAAGGGCTCATTTGAAAGGAGAGGTTTGTCAAAGTGCGCCTTTCATTATTAGAGCATTTAACTGAGGGAGCTTGCTTGTTTGCTTCACACCCAGATGTCCACACCACTGGAGCAATTAGTCTCAGATGTGCTTTGCTCAGGGGCAACAAAACAGCAACTTCAAAAATTGTAAATCTGTCTTGTTGACTTTTCTTGGTCAAATTTAAACCTGGCACCATGTCCTCACACACTTTAAACTAATTTAAATCTCTCACCAAGAAGCAGCCCCTGTTGGTAAGGCAGTTCACTATACATAAGGCTGGAGAGCCTTGGTGTAGCAAAGTGATTAAAGTTTGTCGAAAACCACAAATGTCAACCACATGGCATGGCTAGAGGATAAGTCAGGGAATCGGCATTAACATCCATCTTCTCAGGAGTATAAATGTTTCACTGAAATCTATAAAAACCTATCGATATAATGCAAGTCAGATTTTGACTGAAATACTGATAGATCACAGTTACCTTAAAAACCAATCAACAGGAATTCCCCCAAAAATGTGTTCTGTTAATTTCAGGATAGATGTCAGTGTTATTGTTAATTTAAATGTAATTTGTTTTAAAACAATATATTTATTGAGATGATTTATATGTCTTATTTTAGTTTAGTGTGAGCTCAGTGTGAAGCCCATTCTTTACTCCCTGTTTTATTAAGTGCACATACATTACTGTCCCCCCACTACACACTGACAAGAGGTAAAATTAAGTTAGCAATACTTGAGTTAACAGGTCAACAAGCTCTTTCCACTATCTCACAGATGCACACACAGACATAGAAAAACATACAAACTATACATCATGAAACATCCACTTTACAAAACACTATATGGACAAAAGCACTGGGCCACCTACACTTTACACCTACATGAGCTGCATGGCCACATAAACCTATGCCATGAAGTTCATGATGCAAAATTGTTGTGCTGGTGTTAATACCAGAGGTTAGGAACTCTTTCGTGCACTATGAGCCTCAGCACTCAATGACCCTGCTCTATAACTTTACGTGGTCTGCCACTTCATGGCTGAGTTGCTGTGGTTCCTAAATGCTTCCACTTTGCAATAATTCCACTTAGTCTTGATGGCAGAAAATGTAGGAGGGAAAGGAGGAAGAGACTTCACAAACTAACTTGTATCAAAGGTGGGGAATTCAGTGTGCTCTTTAGGATGAGGCACTTTTTAAAATATGTTTGTAAAGGCAGATTGCTTGCCTGAGGGCTTGGTTTTATACACCTGTGGCAATTGAACTGAAAACACCTGAATTCAAAGATTACTTTTGTTGATACAGTTCAACACAAAATTCCTAACCTTAGTGTGCACCATCTGGTAGTGTAATATTAACCTACTCCTAATCTAAACTAAGCCTACAGTAGCTCAAACCTGTCTTTGCTGTAAAATGTAATGATTCGCGAAAATTGACCTAAAGTTATATGTGCCTTGTCAGGCTAAAAAAGGGAGGTGCTTTTAAAAGTGCCCAAGAGAGGAAAAAGCACCATTTTCAGCTTGATTTAAAAAAAATAAAATTTCCCAACATCCACAAAACTTGTTAAAGCAACCACTACTGGGATGTTAGGCCCTCAAAACAGGTCCTGACATTTGGATTGGTGTTTTTGTTCATTGTAGTTCATTTTTATTCACCTCTAATGTATTAATGGAGATGTTTTATCATCACAAACCTTGGATAAAATATATATCTGGTTTTAGGGTTAAAGCACCTTGACAGAAAAAAAAAAGACATCCAGGCCTCTAAAATAAAAGAAAACTTAATACTGAACCAAGATGCAGAAAGAAATGTGAATACAGAGAAGACAGAGACAAAATCAGGGAGTTTAATAGAGAACGACTACACATACTGATCATGCCTTGCTGGTGAATCCAAACATGGATAAGCATTAACTGAGACAAGATGCTGCAAATGTCAAACTACAATGTTGTGGGAAAATGTCATAATATAATGCAAACCACATATCGTTGTTTCAAGCTTTGGAGGTACACAAATATTTCACATCATAACCAACACGTTTCATCACCACAAGTGCCGACTGGACACCTCCGACTGTAAGCCACAGACAGACGTATACTAACAAATTCACAACACTTTCCAAACAGGTTTAAATCGAGTGCTTTTTTCCTACCAAGCACATCTGACTCAAAACAACTTGAGACAGCTGCACTAGAGTAAAACCTATGTCGTAGACGTGTTAATGAGTGGTCTCTACTTTTATTAGGTTGGCTTCTTTTGTAGAGGTCAGAGTTTCTGTCACGCAGCCTGGTTAGACTGGAATCTGGACCTCTTGTGTAAAACGGGCTAATTGACAAAGGGAGTGAGCCAGAGCATATGGTTTGATTTTAACAGTGTGGGTGGTGTTTTTCCAAGCCTTACTGACAGCCCTTCCACCTTCTGTTTCATCTAATTTCTCCTAATTAGACCTGACCTTCACCTTAATGACCACTCACTCAGACACAAAGGGTTTGTCTTAGTTTACACTCAATGTGCCTTTTTGTACATATTTTACATGTGGGTGTAAAAAGATACAGATAAAACATTGGGGAAAAAGATCAAACCAGTGATACATTTGTATGCATTCCTACAGTATGTGCAACAGACAAATGGCAGGTGTTACTAATTTAACACACACACTGTCTCTTAGGCTCCTTTTCCTGTTGTTCCACTTGCAGGATAAACACGGTTTGGTGAATATGCATTAGTCTCTCTTGGTAACTGTGCTGACAAATTTGCAATATTGGTACAAAAACACAGTGTGGCCTGTGCTGTTAGATATATGGTTTTGAATTACTCTCTTTCAGAAGAACGTAGGTTAATTCTGCGTTTTTCTGTAGATGAAATAATAAAAAAGGGTAAAAATGAAAGGGTAAAATACCTACTGTTGCCACGTAACTGCATCTACAACAGAGCCAGCATTCTTCATGAACCTGAAAGAAAACACAAATGTCATTAACTGATTCGTTGTATTTTGTCTTCAATATATGACAACCTATGTCTTCCTTACACAATTACAATATGGCTATATGAATATTACAACATTTTACCCATTTAACTGTTAGTGCTCAGTTTATTTAACAAAAATATTTTTTAATTCAAGTGCACATATGTCACCTTCACTTTATCTCAAGAAGAAAACAAAATCTATCTAGGTGACAAAAGCCATAATTCACTAAAACTCTTTGCCAACTGTCATAAAATGTGTTGCAGTGTTCATTCTTTTAGCAGGTAAGCAATTGGTAATTAATAAGACTTCAGGATTAAAGGCAAATTTCTGAAAATCAATTAAGACAAATTATAAATATAAGAAAAGTGTAATTTAACAGCTGAGAGCTCCTTAAAAAGACAGCAAATGGTGTGTATGCATTATGCAGATTTTCTGTCATTTTAAAATATGTGTATGCAGCAGTCTAGATTTGGCTTATAAAAATGAGCTCTTTCATAGTTATATAGCTTACATAGCATAATTACATGGTTTGACAGTCACTGTTGGGTCCATATATTTTTGTGATGCTTTGCCAAACCCTTGCTGCAGCTGTCTTCAGTTACTGTTCCTTCATGGCTCTTTCTACCTCTGGTTTTGTCTGCAAGTGAAATGCAGCTCTATTGCAATAACAAAGCCAATGTGGAATATTCCACTTCCTGATCTTTCAAAACCTTTTTACAGATTTAGGTAACTCTCCATCTGTACTGTGATGTGCTAAAGAATTACCTTTGGGAATGAGGCTAAACACAGACTGCAATACTTTATACTTCTGACATCATTCATCTGCTTTTGTCACATCACCAGCAAACTACACTGAAAGTCATGCTTGTCCATGCATTGCACTGCCTTCACTCTTCACCCAAGAGATGTAGTATGCTTCAGATTAAAGGTAGCTCTTAGTCACATCTGCCTACATAAGACTGAGCTGGTAGTGTAGAACCTCTATTTTCACTTGTCTTGTCAAAAGTCTTTTATTAGGGTAGATTTTTGTAGTGATTTTATTTAATCATGGAAAAGATCCTGTGATCATCTACGACTTATCTTCCACAGTGTCCATGAATTTCTATGTTGTCTAGCTGAACAGTGCACTCTATCCTCCAAATGAACAAAATTGTTGAGCAGGTCAGTTCTAACTATTTATTTTTTTACTGTTTAAGGTCGGTTCCACTTATTTTTCATTTGCAATTTCTGCTCATTTGAAGAGACAATAACAGCCTCCAAGTCCAAAATGGAATGAACACCAGAACTGTTTAGTATATAAAGATATGCTACACCTATCCATAAGACATATAATAAAATAAAATAATTAAATGAGAAGGACAATTAAATTGAACCCTCTGAAAATATTTTGAGTCCCTCAAAAGTGAATGCAATATTTCTGTTCATTCCCTTAAGCACACCCTTTCACGACAAATTCAGTCTAACATTGAATTTGAAAATAAACAAATGTAAGTATCATGGCAAATCTGCAAACTACTAGTTTTATTATTATTATTTTTAACTAATTAGAGTTGCTGATTCTATAGCTTGAGGATTTGATTTGTTAATTTTCAGTTTAATTGTTATTAATAAAAGGAAAATCATCTGAGAGCAGAATCATCCTGTACACAAACACCGTGCAAACACAGAGTCGCCTCTTTGCATCTGTGTATGTTTCCTGATCTACCTGACCCAAATCGCTCCATATTTGGCTGTAACAGCTTGTCAGACATGCCAAAATGTGTGTCTCTAAACATCATGTCACAGAAACACAACTTTCACTGGGCTGGCTTGTTTAGTCTGTGCAGCTCAGATATTTGGACTCTTGAGCTGCTCAGCATCTAATTAATCTTATTTCCTGAGAGCAGCAGAGTAGTTGGGCTGTCAAACACATGAGCAACCCCCTCGTAACAGTGTCAAACACACAAGAATCGTCGTGTCGTTAAATGCGACACCCATGACCCATGGGTACTCCGGCTCTCGACTCTTCATCTTCTCAATCGTCCTCCTCTTCTCACTACTCATCTTCTATGTCCTCCCTTTGTTCTGATAACACTGCTCATTAATCAGTCTGACTATTACAGTACACATACACACATGTGAGCAAAAAAATACACCTTTTTGCTTCTGACTAAATCTGAACTGTCAGTGCTCAGTGAGATAAAAGGCAGCTCCTAACGGTTTCACTGATGTAAGTAGTTCAAGTACATAGTGGAGACAGATCCATACCAAATTATTCTTTTTCCATAGTCTTCCAACTACCTGTCAAAATGTGTGTGGCTGCCGAGAGGCTAACCTATATTGAGACATTAAACTGTTCCTGTGAATTTAAGTACACATGTGCTTATATACTTGTGCATGTGAAAACATTTTAACACATAAACATATTCAATTTACTTTATAGATGGTATTTTGGTTAAATGACATGCTGACCCCATTTATTCAACAAATTAAAACCAGAACTATGTATCCCACCTCCATCACTTCTAATTGTCTTATTAGCTCTGTAATAAATCTCCTAAACCTCTTGTGACAGATTAGTGGACCGCAGAATATAGCTTCCTTTCAGCCACACAAAATAGATGTTAAGTTTTCATGGTTGCTGCGCAGGAGCACGTCTAACATCTGCATTTATTCACCAAAATCTATCAGACATTGCAAAATGTTCCCAACATTGTCATGTTTATGACTGTGTGTATCTGACCAGTTGCTTTTACATATACAAAAGTCTAAGTGGAAGCTAAAAGGGAACAAAGCGTTCTCCATTGCTGCCCCCAGTTTATGGAATAAATGCCTGTGCACTTTAGACAGTCACCTCCACAGCCCATTTTTAAAACACATTTATACTCTCTGGCCTTCGACCGGGCATTATACATTGATCTTACTTGCCTTTGTTTTATTATGGGAGCTTGTTTGTGTTTTTATTCTATTCTAGTTGTTTTTAACGGTCCTGCATTTATTCACTTTTGGTTGCAGCACTTTGTATTTGCTGTGGTCGTTTTTAAATTGCTTTATAAATATTGCACACTGAATGTCTGAATAAAGTAATTAAACTTTAGATTGACTTGATAAGGGCCCCACGTAACATCTTAAAACATGAAGATGTTACGCAAAATATCTGTCAAGTTATCAACATCTAAATGATCATAACAACATTTTTCTATATATTACTAGCTTTTTATACACCACCCTTGTGAGTTTAATATAGAGTCTGACAATTTTATTATTTGGGTGATTTTGGCCTATCATAGATATATATAATGAATATATTATCCCCTATGCACCACAACGAAGCTTTTCACGTTTTTGCTTGAGGTAACGTACATATGGTGTCGTTTGTTTGTCCACCAGTGCAATTTCAACCTTGTGGTTTACAGTTCTCTCTCAATGTCTGCAACAGAACCATGGCCACTTGGTTTCTTTGTGCTAAACTTCAAACTGGATTGCCAAAAAAACATAGTGGAAAATCTAAAAAAAATAAATACATTTTATATGTATATATTTATTGGTTGGATAGTGTATGCATTTCCAAAATTCCAGTATTAGTCAGGCTAATTTAAAACAATCAATCAAATTATTATATACTGCTCATAAAGTCAAAAACAAAGGGCAAAAAGTAATTTTGATAGTACTAAATTATTTTATTATCCAGTGGAAAAAAAGCAAACATTGCACCATAAGGTCACACTTTATTTGTATTGTCCAACACTGACAGAGTTGTGTATATACCTCCATGTTTGACTTTCACCCTTTGTTTGTTGTACTGGGCCAGTGATGCATTCATTTTAGTCAAGTTTGTTTCCATTTCAACAGACAGAAAAGCTCACAAAGGCGTTACTTTTTTGGAAATAATGATTTTGTTTGAGGAATACTGTCAGCTGTTTGGTTGACAGAACTAAGGATAAATTTCTTGTCTAAAATGAATTTCAACAAACTAAGACTTGCAGTAATACCCAAAGAAGCCTACATACCTGTGACAGGCAATCTGGGGTTCGTTATTTGTAATGCAGCAAGGTCAAATTACGCTTTTAAAAAAAGTTTTTGTCTTGGTTAACAATCACTATTAGATTATCCAAATTAAAGTTATGCACAAACGTTTCCAAATCATTAGTGAAAAGAGGAGAATGTGTTATTCTCTGATGGCACAGATTTGCTATTTGTATCCAAAGTGCATTTTGTAAATCACCAACTTGATCAACTGCAAGCCTTAAACTAATTTTGAATTAAGATTAGGTTAAGTTGAAGACAGCCAATTACATGCTCACTGCCAGTGGAAAAGTGGTTTGTGGAAGAACAAGATGGGGAGGTTTTTTGTTTTGTTTTGTTTTTTTAAATCTTTTGTCATTGAAGTTTTGAATTTCTAAGGATCACAACAAATTATGTTTCTTTTGCCTAAATTCATCAAAGGTTTGTTTCAGTGAGCCACACTTTGTAAAATATACTTGGACAGACTTCATTGAACTGATGAATTGATAAAGACAATACAAAATGAGTCAGCGCCTTAAAGGAGGTATTACTTTTCCGTTTTGTGCTCCATATTCACATCATGATCTTACGTTGCCCGTGAATTGTTAATGTTCTGATTTTCATCTGCCAGATAATTACAGCTTGTGAATGCAAGATAGATAAACCATGGAGCTACAATATTGTGTGGCTACAATACAACTTGTCCAAAAACAACACAGTAATTTTCAGTGAAACAGAGTCCGAACAATTTAATCTTGCTTTCAGTCAACTTGAATAAAATTTTGGCCAGCTAAAGAAAGTATGTCTGAAAACCTTTTTGTTTTCCAAAGATTATAGTAATCTGTATCAAATGCTGGTGAATAATACTACACAATGACACAGTGACAATGTCTTGGTTAGTCTTTTGTTGTAAAGGTTTGGCTACCAAGTGTAACAATGCAACCTTTGCAGAGGACAGGCTGCAGTTGAAAGAGGGCGGTTAGATAAGCGACCAGAGTCAATCCAAAGCTGCTGCAGCTTCTGGGTGAGACAAGCAGGTGGGACGTTGCGCCATCACGTTATCAATCAGATGACACTTTATTTATGCTGACATGGTATAACTGAAGCTGAGAACCTAAAACCTGCAGAGTGGGAATCCATAAACACTGAATACAACTACAGAGTGTGAGTGTGTGTGTGTGCGTGCGTGCGTAAAACTTTTACTGAGCTTTACTGTGTTTAATGCATAAACTACTGCAGCATACTTTCCGCTACCTTCCCCCTTTCTTTTCCAGCAGGACAGCCTAAGAAGAAGTGTAATCCTGGCCAATCGCTGTTTTACTTGGTGACTCACCCATCCAGCAGCAGAATGGCGTTCTTCCGGGGTCGTCCTGCGTTGGGGCCAAAGAGGTGAGCTCGGTGGTAGAAGCGCACAGACTGCAGCAGGGTACGTAGTTTGGTGTAGTCCTGAGCCAACTGGGTGCTGTTGACCGCACGACCCACCATGCTGCGGTACGCATTGGGCTCTGGAAAGAGAAGACACAGTAGACTGAGGAAGATAAGAGTTTATACAAGCAGCATTGGGAAGATGACAAAGAATGATGTTGTTGTTGTAGTCTGATCCTGCTCTTAGAATATCCAACAGCCAGTAGAAAAAAGGGATAATTGGCCAATTCACAGTAATACAGACAGATGGACATTGCTTCAAGGGAATAGCCAAAGCACACAGGGTGGCCTTGCAGAATCAGTAAGCCTAAGAGAGTGAAGGATTTTTACAAAAGGAGAAAGACTAAACTTTTGCAGACTCATTGTTGATTAACAATTTCACTGAAGATTTTTCTGTACCAGGCTGTTTCATCCTAAAAACATAGGCTGCTAACATGTCTGCTTTATTAGTGTATGTTGATATGCTGTTTATGAGAACTATGAAATGATTAACTGCACATTTTAAAAGATAACCTTTAATTCATCATATAAATGTCCTCTATATTTTGTGCTACCTCAGCAATTTACTTGAAATTATTTCCTTTGTTGCAGTCACATATAAAGTTATTAGACATATGCTGCTACTCTTAGGCTTAGGCTGAAAAAAAGGGTGATAATAAGTTTTTAATGTGAGGGTATTTTTAGATTTTCAGAAAATTAAAAGAAAAAAATAGTTTACCCCTATGCGAACCCTTGGATTAACCCTTTAACTGCTACTGAACTTAAAAATCCTTCATTAAATCTGCAACAGTTTACTTTAGTTCTGTAACAAATTTGTATTACAAGTGACAATACAAGCATGAACTGTTATACTGCATTTAGTTTATACTTCGAATTTAATTTACTGCACTCAACCAGAGAGAATAATGATATGATTTTGGCAATAAAAACTATACAGTGTGTTACCTTTAAAACACTTTCTTTTCCTTTTACTCCTCTAAATATTTTAAATAGTGTAAAAACTGCAGATATGATTGTAAGTCATGTGTTTTAATAGACAGTTTGAAGTATGTTGCTGTACTGACCATTGCCCAGCTCCCAGGAGATGTTGTATTTCTTCCCAGCGCTGTACTTCAGGAGGCTGAGGGTGGAGGAGGTGTTCCAGGAGTTGTCTGGATTTCTGTGTAGTGCGTTGAGCCCCAGGATCAGGTGCAGGCCAGCACAGTCGGCAAAGTTGTACAGTTTGTCTAAAGACCTGGCTGGGAAAAACCCACAAAGCAGTTGTAACTTTGATTCTTTTTACACGTATGGAATCATATGACCACATGAACATGATAGAAAACATGTGTAACTCATGGATTCCCTGATTCACATGCCCTCTGTTTCTATATGTTTATGTATACAGTAGCCCTTAAACCATATCTGTGGTGCTTTCTGCACCACAACTATGTATGTTTGCAACCGGCTACATTTTCTTTTCATTAAAAAAAAAAAAAAAAGAGAAGATGGAAAAGTGTTGACATTATGTAACATTATGCACTTTTATTATACTTATTTTAAAGTCAGCTTTATCAAAACATACCTTCAGACTTGGAGGAAAACAAAATTGAAGCAGTATAGGTTTGTGTCACGTGTATACTACTGTATTTACACTGTGAGTACTATGAAACCTGCTTAAAAACTTAAGATAATTAATCAGTTATGATAAAAACAAATCCAAAATGAGAATTTCAATAATTAATTGTTTTTACATTAGCTACTGAACAATATCTAAGCTGGTTCTGCTCAGTTCTTTGTGGATCAACTGATCAGTTTATTCGCATAGTGAAAATAGAAGTAAATCAACCAGAAATAGAGCCCAGCTTTGAGGAATGTTTATCTTGTCTGTGGCGTAGGTAACATTGTTGTGATTAACTGTGTACAAAGTTGCTTCCACCACTTCAACTTTCAAACTAAACCATTCAAACAACCAAAGAGGACAACATTCCTTAGCCATACTGTGTAAGTACTCTGTAAGATGTACTTGAATAAACTGACTGCACGTGGTGCAGGATATACCTGGAATGTATTCTGCAACCAGTTCTGAATTTCGTGTGTTCATTTTTACACACAACAGCAGAGTTTCTTCCTTCAGCAACATTCAGTGAGAAGAATGCAGACAGACTGATTTTCCCATCATGGACTCCTGTGGTGATGCGCTCCTCAAAGCATCAGGCACAGGTTTGTTCTGTTCTGCAGCTGACTGCTCACTCATGTTTATGTCTGCTGTCTCCATTAGAACACATTATTCTCCCTATGCAGTAGAGGATAAGGCCAACTGCAGATGTTGGCATACAGTGAGAGTGCCAAAAGTGTTTGTTTATATTTTAATGTGTGACTGTAGGCTGCTCCTGGATATCTTAGGCTCTTGTTTTGAAATTTTATCTGTTTGGATTCATTCCATTAATGTAAATATTAACCTGAACTCTAACCCTTACTTCCTAGGTTCAACAGGGACCAGATGAAGACTGTGCAGGTCTGGTTCCTGCTAGAATTTGCTCTCAGCTCTGGATTTGGCACCACCTGAGTTTGCCAAATGATAGCTTTGTCCAAAGTGGAATGAAGACAAATGCAGAGCAGACTCGCGTGCATGTAAAAGGTTTGGATACGTGTCATGCCAATAAAAGGCATAGTATTTAAAAATGGATACAACTAGCTTCAACAGAGGACACATTTAAATAGTGAGTAATGCTTATTAAGTTATATCTGAACTCAAATGTGTTTGTATTCAGCATTTACTCCAACCCTTTATTTCTAGTAGAGCACTGGCTATGTATAATCCAAAGAGCAAATAGAGAGAACAGAAAGATTGCTTGTTGCACCTGGCATTAATCTGCTCTCTGCTAATAGCAGGACAAAGCCTGAAAAGCAAAAAATGTTTGCAGCAACAATAGCTTTATTCCACAAAGCTCTTTTGGGGAGTGTATATCTCCTGGGTAAACTCCCCGTTCTCTGTCTCATTAATAACTATCAATAATGTTATTATCATAACTGCTATTATTGTAACTTCTTCCCTTTGTGGTTGGAATCAGAGTGGCGTCTGTTTGCAGCAGCAGAGTTGAGGGCAACTGGACAGAGAAAGTAGGGCCAGATGTGGCTGTCAAGATGAGTGATTCCAGGCCTTTCCTCACCTGATATCTGAGCAGAAGGCAACCAGCCTTACTGCAAGACACAGCTAGCAGGCCTGCAAACACATCATAAAAGCATCATGAGATGTATCAAGCTACTAAAAATACTGTTTCTCTGCTGGCTGATCTAAGAGCAGTGTGTAAAATAAGAGTCTATGTGTGCATGTCAGGCTGGTTACTGCTAAATCTTTATACCGAGTCTAGGTCTTAAGCTTATGAAACACACGTAACTGGTGTCGTATAAGCTGAAGGTGCTAAAAGATATTTTGCACTCAGTAATTTTAAACATAAATTTTGCTTTTCACCTAGACTATTAGATAAATAATTGCATGTTTGACAGCATACTCATCTAACGGATCTATTATACAGACTTTATAAATGCATATTTATTTATATGCATACTATGATTCCAGCTTATCAAATGAAAGGATCTGTCATTTCTCCTGTAAGTTAAATGAACAGGGAAAATAAACATTCTCTCCCCCCCCCGCCAAATATCTGAAGAAATCAACTTGGTACCTGCAAAGGTATGACCTCTATCATTATCAGAATTTTTGGACATATTTTTGATTTTGGTTAAATAACTAGTAATCGAAATGATTAGTTGCAGCTCTAGCAGTCTTAGCACTGTATTTATACTTATTGTAAAGAAGAGTTGAAATTAAGGCTGACCTAGACCCATTTTGTGTGTCCGATTATGGGTAAAAAAGAAATATATAAAATATATAAAATTCTGTTGATAAGGTCTCCTTTTTAAAATAAAAGCAATCCCCTGTTAGCCCATTGGTGAGCAGTTGTTGGAGTCTCTTTTTCACACTGACAGCAGCTTGTAAAGAACATACATTACAGCATAGCCCAGCATAGCAAAGCTCTTGCTTATCATCTAGGAGGTGGAGATCATGTGTTTTCTTAAAAGCAGAAACAGGTATATTTGCTATACTGATGTCAGAAAATCTTCGACTTACTGGGGCAAACTTGACCCCCATACATAAAGCTATGCAGACACTAAAAAGCCTTTAAGATACAAGTCAGTGATCTTGGTCAGACAAAATGAAGGCACTGTAAATTAATCTATTTCATCTGTTATAGCTCACCATCACATCTGTGTGATGCTAGAGCACAAATGCTCCAGGATTCAATGAACTCCAGAGACATACTGTGGTTGGAATTCTGAAGGGAATACCAGAACTTACTATTTCTGGATAATCACTCACAAACTTAGACACAGATAATCAATAAAGCAAACATTAAATTGTCTTTTCTGTTCATCCCAATTACATTTAATAATATCTCTGAAGCACTTATCATTATTCAGCTTTCAGTTTTTAAGAAAACTAAATCCTTCAGAAACAGGTCTTACATTGTAATGTGGTTTAAAACAGGTCTCAAAATTCTCAATTACACACAAAACAATGAAAGCCTGTCTAAGAGGTCAGACTTTACTGTACTCAGCTACAATCTTCTCTTTTATCTTACAAACAGTCCAGCCAGAAACAAGCAGAACAAACCCCAGAAAGCCGTGTGTGCACGGGTGTGCATTTGCTTATATGTGTGATTCTGCTGGCGTGCCTTTGTGTGTTTGTGTGTAGCGGAAAGAGTGGAGTCTGGATATTGTCAAGCTGTCTATCTGATAGAAAAGCCGGCTCTGTGAAGCAGAGCGGCCGGCAGCATCAGTCAGCGATATGCCTCATTTCTGCAGTTCTGCATATTCCTTCAAACACTGAGGTACACATATGTCTATGTGCACCAGGCCTCTATGCACTCACACAGTGTTTACTGGTTTACATACCACCCACATGAAGCAGACACCCATTTAAAGTTTCCAATGAAATCCCACTCTTTTCTAGCGCTGTGCTTTCACTAGGTTACTGTAGCTGACAGGACAGGTGTATTTTTACATGAAAGTTGTTGCTATTACAGCTTGGATTTGTTTCACTTTTGAGCTGCTAGATTCGCCTTCGTTATATCACACAGCCTCACTAAAATTTCATAAAAGTTATGAAAAACAGATTGAGACAAGGATCACACAACAGAGCTTAAAAAAGCAAGGGACGGCATAAATATAAAAACCTAAAATTTGAACTTAAAACATGAAACACCATCAGGATTTCTTTTAAATCACAGAGATACTATATTAAGACTATATTTTTATTATCAGTGAACAACCACATTTAACTGAGAGTATACATTACACAAAAACATTGCAACCATTCCAGACTACTCTGCAACATATGTTTTTGTGTACTGGGAGGAAAGTGAATGCAGGCTACAGATATGCAGACAGAACAAGTAGCCTTTCCTGCCTAAAATGTGAGGGATCATTTGGAATTTAGTTTCAGTGATTTATGAAAACATTTCTTGCTTTGAGCATCAAAAACAGAGTATATCCATGCATTCTCCACCATTTATGCCTTGGGAGACAAAAATACCAAGCACAGCAGAAATTAGTTTTCTGTTTTCATTAGATATTTAATTCAATACCGAAACAAAGTTGCCAACACAATTTACAACTACTAGTTGAATGGAAATCAGTCTGGAGTGGGTGTGTGCACACATTCACACACACAAATTTCAAACCCAAAATGTAACCATACCCTATTCTTAATACACGCCTTCACCTTTAAAATGTTATGATTTATGCCATAGGACTTGGCTTTTGTGCTCATTAGGATGACATGTCTGCATAATTTGACTGTGTAAACAGACCTAGGTCCCCACAACATGAGTAATACCCGGACCGCTCACAGAAAAAAAGACTGCAGCTGAGTTCTGGCTTGCTTTAAAAGCCAAATCAAAACCGAATCCTCAAGAGACATGTGCAGACAGGGTAGAAGGCTGTTTAGAGAAATTAATTGTGAGTCTTTTTTCCTGTTTATGGACACAATATGTTTTCCATAGATGCACATGTTGCAGTCAAGTTTCCAGAGTTCTTGAAAAGTGTCCACACTGCTAATGAAGATGATCTAAAATGAATTCTAAAACTTTTTATGTTATTTTTCTTTCCTCTAATGATTTAATAACTTTGTAGATGTAGGAGGAAAAGAGAGTTATGCATGAAATAAAATCACACTGAGCACACTGCCGCCCTGTAG